TTAAAAGTCATACTCTTCACCCACCATAGTTGCAGTTTTTAAACTTTTAAGTTGTTTCATATAAGAATGTCCATAACAGCTAGGTACAGTGGTGCATGCCTGTAATCTCAGCAACTCAAGAGGCTAAGGCAGGAAGATCGAAGTTCCAGGCCAGCCTCAGCAACTTAGCAAGACTCTAAGCAACTTAGCAAGACCCTGTTTCAAAATAAAAAATAAAAAGGACTGGGGATGTGGCTCAGTGGTTAAGCACCTCTGGGTTCAATCCCTAGTACCACACACACACACACAAAAGTCCATGATAATATTTTAATAACCATTAATTTTATTAAAACTGGACTATTAATTACCTGTCTTGCTAACAGTCTGCTCATAAAGCAATTTTGAAAACAGAAGTCCAGGAAGAACTTGTACAATTGTTTTTGCAAGCTGAACTACCTGTTTTTTTTTTGTTTGTTTGTTTTTGTTTTGTTTTGTGGAACATCATTTTTGTATAAAGGACTAACAGACTATGCTTCTTCATACTCGTATATCTTTCAGATGTTTTCAGGGAAATGAATGAAGTGAGCCTTTCACCTCAAGAAAAACAATTATGTGTTGCCAGGTACACCAGCACACACCTTTAATCCCAGCAGAAGGATCACAAATTTGAGGTCAGCTTAGGCAATTTAGCAACACCCTCTCTCTCAACAGCAAAAAAAAGGGCTGGGGATTCAGTGCAGTGGTAGTGATAGAGCATCTCTGGGCTCAATCCCTAGTACAAAAAAAGAAAAAAAAGAACACAAAACAGGGAAAAGACAGTTTCATCAATAAATGGCACTGGGAAAATTGAATATACATAAGCCAAAGAATGAAATTAAACCTTAATCTCACACAAAAATGAACTCAAAATGGATTAAAGACAAATGTAAGACCTGAAACTGCAAAACAACTAGAAGTAAACAAAAAGGAAAAAGCCCACAATATTGGTCTGGGCAAAGATTTTCTGGATATGACTCCAAAAGCTCCAGCAACAAAAACAAAAATTGACACATGGGATTCCATCAAACCAAAATGCTTTTATAAAGAAGAATGAAATTATGTCACTGGCAGGAAACTATGTGAACCAAAATAAGTCAGACTCAAAATTCAAGGGTGGTATGTTTTCTCACATTTGTGGAAAAGAAGGTTGGTGGGAGGCAGGATCTCATGAAAATCAAAAGGAGATCAGTGGAATAGAGGAAAAGTACCAGGGGGATGGAGGGGAGAGGGAAAGGGAAAATACTTGGGAGTGATACTGATCAAATTATTATACTGTGTGCACTTACAAATATGTAACAAATCCCACCATTATGTATGACTATAATGCACCAATAAAAAATGTAGGAAAAAATCCTAAAGGACAGAGCAAATGAAACAATAAACAGAAGAAAGAGACAATCTACAGAATAGGAAAATATTTCTGCAAATTATTGATAAGTGGTTACTATTCAAATAACTCGACAGGCATGGTGACATACAACTATAGTTCCGGCAACCCGGGAGGCTAAAGCAGGAGGATAGCAAGTTCGAGCGCAGCCTAGGGAACTTAAGAGAGACCCTGTCTCAAAATAAATAAGAAAAAAGGCTGGGGATATTTGTACACTCATGCTTTCAGCAACATTATCACGATAGCAAGCAAGGTACAAGTGTTATCGAAGAATGAACAGATGGGCAAAATATGGAATATACATACAATGGAATGTTGTTTAGGCATATAAAGAAGGAAGTTCTGAAACATGCTACAACATGAAGCCTGAAACCACTGTGCTGGGTAACGTAGCTGGTCACAGGGAGAGATGCACTCTATGGTTCCACACACTTGGGGTGTCTAATAAGATTCATGGAAACAGACAGTATGGGAGGTGGCTAGAAGAGGGAGGGGAGAAAGGGGAGTTGTTATTTGGTGGGTATAGTTTCAGTTAAGATGAGAAGAGTTATGGAGCTGGCTGGTGGTGATGGTTGCACAATAAAGTAAATATACTTAATACCACTGAACTGTACACTTAAAATAGTGAAGATGGTAAATTTTATATTATAATCTATTCTACCACAATTAAATTTTTTAAATTATATAATGGAAACTTGATGACCATTGAAAAATGATTTCCTATTACTCCCTCCCCACACCTTCTGACAGCCACCATTCTATTCACTTCCTTATGCCTCATAAGGGTAGAATCATGCAGTGTTTTTCCTTCAGTGTCTGACTTGTTTCCCTTGGCACAGTGCCCTCTAGGTTTACCCACGTTGTTGTAGATGGCATGATTATTGTTAAATTTTATATGTGTGTGTGTGTGTGTTTGTGTGTGTCATTTTGGTATGTATATTCTACTGTATGTTTATACCATGTTTTTTTAACCCTTCTATATACACAGTGAATAAGTTCTAGAGATTTATCATACAACAGAGCCATACAACATTGTCCATATAATTGACAATACAGTATTGTGCACTTTAAATGTTTAGAGGATACATATCATCTTAGGTTTCTCACCCCTCCCACTAAAAAGCCACATACAAACAAAAGAAAACAAGAAAAATTTTGGAATAGATACATTTTCTCTACCTTAATTGGTAGAGAATTGCAAGAGTATTCATATGTTCAAATTTGAAATGTACACATTAAATGAGTGCTATTTTTTGTATATTAATTATACCACAATAAAGCTAAAAGGGAGGAGTAAAATGTTTCTAAGAGCAAAACATCTGAGAACCTCTGATGCAGACTATCTGTTCCTGTCTTCCAGTTCTTGGACCCTGTTTTCAACACACCTACCCTTCCATTTACTTCACTGAATGCAGAATTATAAAACTCCCCAAACAAACTTAGTTGAAGAGATAAGACATCAGGCATAGCAAGCTAAAGAGAGAATAAGACCCTCAAAATCATTTTCCTCTAGCAATAGTGGCAAGGCCTGGTAAGTAGCTCTGCCAGGCTAGGCTGGGTTCACAACCCCTGCCTGCAGCCCACCAGTGGGAGAATAATAATGCCAGAGCTTAAACAGGAGTTCAGGTGTCTTATCTTTTTCACATTCCATATCTGATGTGATACAACAGTGAAGTAAAGGCAGGTGGAGCCATTTTTTTAAAAAAAATCAGTTACGATTTATAGGGGAGAAAACACCAAAATATAAAAGAGAGGGCTGTAGTGGGGCACCTTCTGTCTGAAGTCCAGGGGTCCCTTCACCAGGCACTGGCAACAAGATGCCTAAATTGCAAAGCACAGTGGCACATGCCTGTAATCTCAGCATCTTGGGAGGCTGAGGCAGGATGATCACAATTCAAAGCCAGCCTCAGCAATTAAACAAGACTGGAGACCCTGTCTCAAAATAAAAAATAAAATAGACTGGGAATATGGCTCAGTGCTTCAGCGCCCCTGGGTTCAATCCCTAGTACCCAGCAGACAAAATGCCACTCAAGCCTGGAGGTCTACCATTAAAACATGCATTTTTTACTTTATTCTTTGCATTATGTTTATAAGCCATGTAGACTTCTTTTTTTTAAAAAACTTTTTCCATTCTTTTGGGTTATTAGTCTTTTTATTTTATAAGATAAAGTGACCCTCTATATTATTTTTTATTACAGAATAAATATTTAAGTGATTAAAAAATAAAAGCTGTGGTGCACGCCTATAATCCCAGAGGCTCGGGAGGCTGAGGTAGGAGGATCACAATTCAAAGCCAACCTCAGCAACTTAGTGAAGTCCTGAGCAACTTAGTGGGGCCCTCTTTCAAAATAAAATATAAAAAGGTCTGGGGATATTGGTCAGTGGTTAAGCCCCCCTGGGTACCCCCCCTCCAAAAAAAGTTAAGGAAACAGAAGACAAATAAGAGATGACTAAAACAAAAGCTGATTTCTTAAGAGGCAGATGAGTAACAAAAATTATTATGAAAAAAGACCACAGCATCAAATAAGTGACACTAGGAATGAAAAAGATAAAATACAATAGATATGAAACTACAAAAAATTCTATATTAATAGCCTCAAGACTTTTTTGAGAATTAAAATTATCAAAATCAATTAGAGAATAAATAATAGTTTTAGTAATACTTAAAGTCATAATAGAGGTAATATCCTGGAGTTTCCTCTTAAAATACACACTTGTCGAGGTAGTTAAGCACTAGTAAGTCGTTCCTCAGCTGTGGTCTTCTATGACAAGAGTTGGAACTTTGGACCTTGGACTTTGTCAGTCTTGTTTGGAAGGAAAGAGGATGTTGAGAGTATAGCAGAGGGACTGGTCTGTTCCCTGAAGTCAGGTTACCCCAAGGCTGAACCAGGCTGCCAATACATCCCTTCTCACCTCCTCAAGAGTAGCAAACCACCCACCTCACTTAGCCCTTCCCACAATTCCCTCCTCACTCACTGCTTTCCTTCTTCCCTATTCTCCTCTTCCCCCTCTGAGCCTCCCTTCCTTACCCCCATCCTCTGTTGAAAGAAAAGAATAGCTCCAGGTGCCATGCTACCTCACCCAACATCCTACCCTCTCCTGGCTCCTGGCAATTTCAGCCTGAAGAATTCAGCAAAGAGGTAAAGTCCTGAGGCCTAACCCTATGCCTGTCTTGGCCCATTCCTCAAACTCATTTCTCAGTATGATCTTAAGAAAAAACAAAGGGACCCCAGGGGTAAAGGATATGCAGTAACAGGTGATAGTTGTCTAGCTCTGAGCCCTGGTACTAGAGCTAACCCAAATGATCCATCATTTCGTATCTTGTTCTGTTTGTAATCCAAATAAATGTCTCACATATATAAACAATACTGTGTCTCAAATTTGTCAGTATAGTTGGATGAGTAAAAGTTAAATGTAGTTAAATTTGCTATTCATTCTATTCCAACTGTGAACAACTTAGTATCTCCAAAAATACACACTATGAGTACCACATACAAGCATGTATGTGTTGGGAAGTAGAAAACCATTAAATATTTTAATGACAAAAAGAGCCATCTCCTTCAGGAAAAGAAGGGGATGACCAGTGTACCTGACATTACTGTGGTCAAGTTGATGTCTCTTTATGGTTCTATCCATGGGGTGGGTGGAAAGGAGTCAACACAAATTGAATTCAGGTAGGAAGTCTTCCTTTGTGGATCTTGACAGAGATTTAGTCTTGGATTGACCCCCAGCCCTTAGTTGTTCCTAAAGCAGGTAATTCCATGGACTCCTTACCTTGCTCAAAGACTGGGAGATACGATGGGAACTGGAAGGCAGATATTCTCCGAGATGCCCAACTTCCGCTGATGTTTGGAGTGACCAGCCTGTCCAGATACAGAAAAACTGATGCTGCAATGATGTCAACCAAACCCAAGTCCAGGACACATGACCAGGTTTGTTCAAGTACATGAACGAACATAGTTAGGAGGATAAAAATCTGGATCATAGCAGATATTTGGTGGTTCTTACCAAAGTCGATCTTTGGCAAATGTGAATAGAAATCTAGCTCTAGGAAATGAAAAATCCACAAGGGTAAGAGAGAGGTACCACATCATGAACATTAGCCAGTTCAGGGAACTGTGACTGAAAATCCCTAAGGTAGGTCCCCAGATACTCCCACCTATCTCATGAAATGCCTAAAATCCAGAATAAGAACTATCGACCTTTAAGCAGGTTGGGCAGGACGGGTGGGGCTAAGTAAGGCTAACTGGAGCTGGAACCAGTATTATTCTGAACTGCTGACACTCTGCCACTCCAGTACAGATGAGGGCTCTGAGAATGGAGTATGATGGGTATATAGAGGAGTATACAGAAGTAATGATGAAGAATGGTGAGGAAACAACTTTCTAGTGTTACTTGTGACTGGGTCTATTTACCATCTGAACTTCTGGGTCCCCCTCTAACCCTACCGAACTTATATAGGTTCAGTTTTGGAGATTAGTGAGCTGCCTTCTTCGAAGTATCCACCACTCTCTAACATCAGAGACCTAGGAGGTAGAGGGCTTTCTGCTTGGGCTTTATACAGACTCAAGGGCTGTTAACAAGTGACCAACTCAAAACCTCCCTCTATGGTTACCTCTGGAGGTAATATCATAGGAAGCCTGAGTGTGTTTTTATGTAATCTATTAGGCCCTTAGAAGTCTTCTTTCCAAAAATATCTTCCCTGCTCTAGATCCACCTGGTACCTAAAGTTTTACCATTAGGGTCCTTAAAGTTGCTCAAAAAGTCTCTAGAGAAATATAAATATAACTCTTAACTCAGGGTAGGAGTAGGGGATTGGTGCAGAGTTACACAAGAACAAATGAGTGGAAGCCCTGAAATTCCTTTATCGGGGGCACAGAGGGCAAAGGAGTGAAGTATGAGTGGGGAAGTGGAAGAATTAAGGGTGTCTATCTAGAAGCTGTTTTCAGAGAATACATGGTTTGTAATTACACTGCATATTTATTTAGGGTAGCTTTGACTAAGACTGATAGGGATTTGGTATGCCAGACTCTCCCCATAAGCCACTCCTTGGCTCCACCACTGCACAAGAAAATAAGCTGACTACAAAGACCTTGGAAATCCAGACACAAAGACCTGGACTTTGAGGGGAGCTGTCAAATTCAACTCCCTCTCCCTGAGCCACTGTGCTTGCCAGAAGCAGGTAAACACAACAGGACTGAGCTAAGGATTATCCACGGGGGATCTTGTATCCTCTGAAGGAACTACTGGCAGCACTCCCATCCATGGAGAGGCCAAAGAAAGAAGTGCAGGACTTTGGGTCAAAAATGGCAGGGAAAAGGCACATAAATTGTGGCTGTATTATCCAGTCACAAGATGCAATCATACTGCTGCTTGTCACATGATGTCTTTTCCCCTCCTCCTTTGGTCTTTCCCTCTTCTCCTTTCCCCTCTCTTTGCTCTGTTTTGATTTGGTTAAAATAGATGCAAACCCTGGTCTTTTCTATTTTTACTACCCAGCAATTACATAATCCACACCGTAATTGCTGACTTGCAAAACTATTGGCAACAGTAGAAAAACCCTGGAGTTTTAAAAAGGAAAAGGATTATTACAGTACAAAAGCCTTTGGCAGCTTTACTGACTGGTAAAGCATCTGTAATCGTCACTTGCCAGTGGAAGTTACATGGGCCCTGGGAACATCCCCCACACACATACCTCAGGGAAAGTGGGCTAGGGGATGAGAGGCAACCTGGCTAAGAGGAAATGGCAGTGGGTGGGGGCTGGGCTCATATTTAATAAATGCCCTCACCAAAAAAGTACTCAAGATTGAGTGCCAGATTACCAGGGGTACCTTTTACTGCTTTTGTTTCTTGCTAGGGAGTGAAGTCTCCAAAGGCCAGGACCTTGCCCTCATCAGCTTCCCGGCCTTCCTTCAACCTGCAACATATTTCTGCAAGAGTCTGAGGGAGGGAAGACTACCTCAGTTAAACAGGTGCCTGACAGACACAGGAGCAAGGAAGATTTCAAGCACAAAGAGCTTCTCTGCAAGGCTTTCCAGATAGTAAGCCAGAAACACATTATTCAATTATTTCACAAAATGGTCCAATAAAAATATAAGAACTAGTGGTCTGGTAAAGGGTTTCACAACCAAAAAGAAATATTTCACTGAGCCAAAATTCTCTGTATGTTGAATGTGGGTAATGCAGTAGATTAAGGAGGGTTAATGTCTTCTTTCCCTGATTTTGCCAATGTTGCCACATTCCTGACCGCCCCCCCCCCCAAGAATCAAAGTGATCAGTCCAATTTGGATAATTGTATGTGACCATTTAAAATATTTGCCAAATGTGATATACTAGAATGGGTGATGAGATGGAACTGTGAACAACCCAGGTCAATCAGGAAGGCAGGTATTAATCAAAATAAGATACAAACATAACATTACAACACAACCATGATGAAAGGTTATAAAGGGAAAGTATAGGGTGCTAAGGGCATTTAGAACAGTATGACCAGATAGGGTCTGAAGGTTCTTAGAATATTACCCTAAGGACTTCAGGGTTCTTTCAATTTGGCACCTTTGTTTCCTTCTGTCCCCTATCCCTCCCTCCTTCCTATATTTATTGGGTTTTTACTATGCCAAAGATAATACTAAGTTCTTTACATGTGTGGTCTCATTTGATTTTTATAACAAACTTACAATTCAAATTCAGCACTTTAAGATAAAAGGATCTGTTGAAAAAAGCTGAACCTAGCCGGGTGCAGTGGCACACACCTGTAATCCCGGCAGCTCGGGAGGCTGAGACAGGTGGATGATGAGTTCAAAGCCAGCCTCAGCAACAGAGAGCTGCTAAGCAAATCAGTGAGACCCTGTCTCTAAATAAAACACAAAAAATAGGGTTGGGGATATGACTCAGTAAATGAATGCCCTCGAGTTCAATCCCTGGTACCCCGCATCCCCCACCAAAAAAAGGTGAACCATACCATATTCTCTGTAAGAGAATGATATACCATTTATGACATGGATTAATTAAGACACTTCTGGCAGCAGGTGACGATTCAAATCAAACTTCTATAAGGGGTAAAAAAAGGGAAAGTCTAGGTCCACGCAAAATAAGCGTCCAGGATTCCACCAGTTTAACACGTGGTTACATCCAGGTACTCAAGACACCATCTGATCTCCAGTTTTCTCTATCTCACAGCTCAGCTGTCATCTGTGTTGCCTTCATTCTTGGGCAGTATTCTCCTTAGGGTGGCAAGATGGTCTCCAGCAGCATGGGACTTACATTCTGTAGGGTCAGGGCAACCGAGCTGGAAAGGAAAATAAGAGTGCACTTCTTAATAGTTCTAACAAAAACCCTGAGAGACCTGATTGGCCTGGATGTGGGTCTATGCCCCTGCCTGCCAAGTACTATTCTCTGACTGGCACATGACTATGTGTCCTCCAAGAGATGAACTTACTCCACTGGAACCACTTCTGAAAATAGGAAAGGAAGTGTCCCCTAAAGAAAATAAAAATGCTCTTATTTAAGAAAGGAGAATGGTGAATAGTCAAAGCTCACTGACCTCTATTGTTCTCAAAGTGGGTGTTGAGACCATACAATAGGTTCTTCCATCAGCCAGGTCTTCCCTGCTAAGGCATGCGCAAAAATACTAAGTTCAGTGTGGCACTGACTAGATTCACACTGCTCAGAGACCATGACTTCTTACTTTAAGATACTAACTGAAGGGCTGGGGAGGTGGCTCAAGTGGTAGCGCGCTCGCCTGGCATGTGTAGGGTGCTGGGTTCGATCTTCAGCACCACATAAAAATAAAATAAAGATGTTGTGTCCACCTAGAACTAAAAAATAAATAGTAAAAAATTCTCTCTCTCTTTAAAAAAAAAAAAAAAGATACTAACTGAAGTCTTACTATTTATTTAGGTCCTTGCTCAGAACAGTTTTAAAGTTCCAAGATTTTACAGAAGATTTTTCCCAATTTTTCTTTACCCCTAAATGATAGACCCTACTCGGCAATTGCATGGCTGGGAAGGGTATAGCTCATTGGCTCTTTAACCAGCATCCTCAGGTTCTGCATAACTCACAGGGAAGGAGAAATATGACAAAGTCCTCCGTGTGGACATTTTTTTTTTTTTTTTGCTTCCCTTTTGAAGTCTGAACGGAAAACAGCTTTCACTGGGCAGAAAGAGGAATATAAAATGATAGCTGGAACATTCACAGAGCAAGATTTTGGAGAACCACTGTTAAACATTCTGAACTATACAGCACTACAACAATCAGATGTCAGCTGCAAACCCCCTGTCATTGTGCATTCTTTTAAAAGCTGCCTGGATCCTCCCATCCCAAGAAGAAATCCAATGGTCTTCCCAGAATCTCAGCAAATTACCAGCAGTTAATACTCTTAGTAGTCTCTTTGGCTCTGCTCCAACTCTTGCTAGAGCTTTGATCTTTTTCACATCTCACCTCCTGAGGCTGGTCTCTTCTCTCTGCTCTAAGCAGTCCCAGATGTGGGACTCAGCTCTTTTTCCATGCTTTACTCCAAAGAAAAAATATGTACACACAAACTCACTCAAAGCATCATGTGTCTGTCAGATTTCCCTGAAAGTATAAAGAGACAGAGATTTTATATTACCCTGCTGCTTGGTCCTTTTATCCATTCCACATGCTCCTCACATTTTGTTGGTGGTAGGGACTAAATTCCCCTTATATTATTCAGAGTACCTTAGCTCTCCATCCCCCTTCCAGAGTTGGGAACCCACTAAGAACCATTCACTCCAGGTTTCTCCCTGATCGGCACCAAGGAACAGTTAAGAACTTTTACTCTCTTGTTGCTACCACCATTCTGTAGTGGTCAAAGGAATGGAATGATTTTTTTCCCAGTACGAATACGAATTATATCACCCCTCTTTACAAGAAGAACTAGTCAAAGTTTTTGTTTTAAATAAATTTATATTACACTACCCTAAATTCTCCACCTCAGAGAACAGCTTATGTAACAAGTCTGAAACAATCCCCATTATGTCCACTGACACTGAAATGTGAGTAAGCAAAGCAACACTTCTGTCCCAGAGACACTGCCAATCTTTGAAAGACAAGGGAGTATATATCCTTGCCACCTTCTGATGGAATTCCTGCTGTTTCCAGGCTGGAGTTTTGGAGCTTCAAACTTCAGCAAAATAGGTAAAACTAGAGTAAGTTTCAAAGACTCCTTTCACCTAGGTTGGTGAGTCTGGAACCAAGGTTAAAACCAGTGAGAAAGCCTCTCCAAAAGAGAGGCAAGGACAGATGCAAAGAACAGGTTTCCTCCCATGGGCTAGGCCAGCTTTAAGCCTTGCTTTCCTGAGCCACTCATGTTTCCCATCCTTTTCTAAGAGCATGGGACAAGCAAGGCTTCCCACGCAGAGGCCCCTGCATCAGAGTCAGAGGCAGGGAGGCTCTGCAAGGCTGTGAACACCAAAAACAAGTAAATCCTAGCAAAGAAGAATCCTGAGCTTTGAATTCCTTTATTCATCACTCCAAAACATGCAACTGCAGACAACATAGTAGCATTCCTTAGGGATCCTTTTAGTTCCTGGGAAGATAGGGTGAGAAGTCTCTAAATTCTTCCCAGAAGCTAAAATTTATAATACCAAAGTACATTAACAAAGAAAGGATAAAGGTAACGATGTAGAATATATATTTTCTATCTTATATAAGAAACTGGCAAAAGTTAACATTTCATTCTTTAATGCCATCATTAGAAAAATACAGCCTTAAATAAAAGAAATTACTATACAAATTATATAAAGTAACTTGTATACATTCTAAGTCAAACAGGAATGATTTTCAAAATAAATGGGAATCTCCTATTCATACTGTTCCATGCTTTCTATTTTTACTGACACAAAAACCTACTTCAATGTTTTAACAGCCACACAGAATTTCACAGTACCCCTACTCATGGATATTCACCATTGCAATGAAAATCCTTCTCTAGAAGACTCTGGGCATAAGGGTGAGTGATTCCTTAGATGAAATCTGTTTGCTTCGCTGTAACTTGTCTATTTGTATTCTATGCCATTTTATATTGGGTTTATAGTATTTTTCTTATTGATTTGTAGGATCTCTCTAAAGATTGTAGATATTAATCTATCATCTATTACATATAGTGCAAAAATAATCTCCTAGCCTGTTGGCTCTCTTCTAACTTTGTTTATAGTAACTTGTGCCAGAAACAAGTTTCTCTCCTCTCTCTCTTTTTTTTGGACCTAGGGCCTTGCATATACTAGGCAAAATGTTCTACCACCGAGCCACATCCCCAAGCCAAGTTTCTCACTTTTATGTAGCAAAACCAATTACAAATTACTTAGAAAAAAGTGAAATGGGAGCAATGCACCTCAAGCTCTGAGCCACTATGGTCTCTTCCATTTAGGTCCCTTGATAAAGTGGCTGGTTAGACAGTTATTTTCCGAGTTCTGGTTTTATAGCCAGGGTGACAGTGAAAATTGATCAAGAAAGGGCAAAAAGAACTATGAGGATTTTTGTTTGTTTCCAGTAATTTGGGGTTGCTTTTTTAAATGTTTGAAGTCATAGTACTAACAATGTTGAAGGAATCCTGAATCACTGAAAATCCTTAAAACAGCTTTATGAACAATGAACTGAGAATTTCCAGACTCTTTCAAACTATGTAAGCTTTAGGGCATTACTTGCTGTCACCATGAAGGGAATGACTGAACACAGCCCAGGAAAAATAAACGTCAGACCCCAAAGGAATACAAAGGCTCAAGAGTCCACTGATTCCTACCAGAGTTTTACGCAAGAAACTTTTAAAAAGTTTCCATTCAGCCTCTCACAGATGATTAGTACAGCCCACTCTGAACTAGAGCAGTTAAAAAAAAAAAAAAAAAAAACATCCTAGTGGCCAAATAAGATTTGCCTACAAGAGGGCCAATAGCTTTTCCCTAAAAGTACTTGGCTCCTGTATCTGTAAACAAAGGCCCAGGATCTTAGGCGGTTGTCCTAGTTGGCCATCACTCACCCCAGCAACCCCATTAAACCCCCCACACTATTTAAGCAGGCAGTGTAGAAAGCATACCTGAAAAACTGTCCTGGCCACCTTCCCTCCAGCTGAAACTTGACACTCCTTTATGAACTTGCATTCTGGGCAATGAAAGTTCCAACATAAAAACAATCTTCAGTGTCTAGCAGGAGGAGGAGGAAAAAGAGACTTCTTTGCTTGATATCTTGTTGCCTTGATGTTGCTTCAAAACCATTATTGTTATAATATTACCAAAAAGCATCTTTTTTTTTTTTTGCTAAGTCTTATGCTGAACAACTATACTCCTACTCATTGCTGTCATCTGCTGACCTCCTGGTCATCAAGGACTTGGTCACAGTCTGCCTTTCCATCTCAAGTCAAACCTTTGCCTGGTCATGACCTCCTCTATTTCTACTTCTCATCATTGCTTCTATAACTTCCGTTCTTTAACTTCACTGTGATTTCCAGGCCCTTCCCCACCACTGTGCCACCATCAGAACTCTCTTGGATTCACTTCTTTCTCTAGTCAGCTAAAGGACAACCACTCTCCCACCAATACTCTAGGCCACATTTATTTCTCCTCTTCTATTTGTTGTACAACACAGTTTCTATCTGAATGCAGATGTTCTCAGCTTTAATCCTCCACTTGTTTCATACTGCTGAAATAATCATTAGTAATGAGGGCTGCTTCCTCTATAAATTAATGATCTCCAACATTGGGTGAGTCTTCAGCACTGCTCAGCTATCCTCTTACATGTCTCTCAAGGTCATAGCCAATGGCACAAGAGTTTTTTATGAAACCATACCACTCTCCCCACTATCTCACTTGCTCCTAACAGATGATTTCAACTTCTGCTCAGAAAAAACAAAGCTCAAAGAAAGCCCAACTGTCTCCCAAAATCTCATCAAATCACTCTAACCATTATATCCCTATGAAATAAGACTTAAAAGTACTCAGCAGAACTCAGTGGTACACATCTGTAGTCCCAGCTACTTGAGAGACTAAGGCAAAGAATCACTTGAACCCAGAGATCAAGACCAGTCTGGGCAACACAGTGAAACATCTCAGGAGGGGAAGGAAAAAAAAAAAAAAAGTGTTTAGAAGAATCTTGGCAAAATGTAAGAAAGTAACAAATGGTGGTACTGGTGGTGATGTTAATCTCAGTGCAGCCTTGACCTTTGTTCAGTTCAAGTTTAAACTTGTCCACCAATACTCAGGATACAGTACTCCCTTTTCCCCAGGAGACTTTCTCAAACAATTTCTACTTGCTGTTTCCCCACAGCATAGGGTTGTGCTCTCAAGAAAAGAGATTAATAGCCCTCTTTATATCTTGCACCCTCTTTTTACTAATTCTTCTCACTTCACAGCTGAACTTCTTCAAAGAGGAGCCTCCCCAATGGGGTCACACCCTTGCCTCTCATTCACGAGCTGCAGTCATGGCCCACTAAAACAGTGAATTACTTTTTTAAAAAAATACTTTCTTAGTTGTTGATAGGCCTTTATTTCATTTATTTATTTATTTATATGTAGTGCTGAGAATTGAACCCAGTGCCTCACACTTTCTAGGCAAGTGCTCTACCACTGAGCCACAACCCCAGCCCAAGTGAATTACTCTTACTTACCAAAAATTCTTCTCTTTGAAAAAATTACCTTAGCAATTAGCAAAAGAGTACAGTGAATGGAAATACAGTGTATTATTGATATAGAATTATAATAGTGAGGGCTGGGGATGTGGCTCAAGCGGTAGCGCGCTCGCCTGGCATGCGTGCGGCCTGGGTTCGATCCTCAGCACCACATACAAACAAAGATGTTGTGTCTGCCGAAAACCAAAAAAATAAATATTAGAATTATAATAGTGAGAGAAATTTTTGATAATATGAACTAGAACAGATTTTCAACACTGTTGATATAAGCAACAGAAAGATTGCTTTTGCTTTTTTAAATGTTTGAAGTCATAGTTCTAACAATGTTGATATAAGTAAGACTATTTACTGTTTTTTCTAAAACAAACCCACCTGTTTTCTAAAACCTTACCTAATTCTCTAGATCCAAATATTGGAAAAAAATCTCTTCTTACTCTGAATTCCCATATCATTACTCTGAATCTGTCATACTATGACTTTCTCTACAATTAAAGTTATCTACATGCTAAACTTAAGTTCCTCAAAAGCAGGCTCAGTTGAGTTATTGCAGAACTCTCTGCAGTTAATAAATATTTGATAAATGAAGAAATGGACTTAATAAGCATATATTATAGAAAGCACAATTTTAGTTCGAAATCAATCTAATTGGCCCATTAAATCAGGCCCCCTGAAGAAGAACCTCCACTGACATTTTGCTAACCTAATAATTAGCTTTCCTTAATAAACTTGCATTCATTCACATGTTGTAATTTAGGTTTTTACTCACTTAAATATGCCTTGAAAATGCAAATTCTGGGACTATTTCCTTTTAGGACCAGTCTGGAAGAACTAAGATAAGTCAATGAGGTAGGAATTATCCAGGCTGAAGGCAGTGAGCCTTCTCCCTTACCCCCAAATACTTCAACTACTTTCACATAACCATGTCAGCTCCTCCGCACAGGTCTGGCTTTGCCCCTTGCCCAACCTCCCTAGATCTACTCATTTCAAAGACAAGGAAGTTGATCTAGAAAATCTAAAAAGTTTTTTTTTTTTCTGGTACTAATATTCTGTGAATAATTGCATATTACCATTTGAAAATCAGATTTTATTCTGAAAAGCAGAACGCTTAAAGAAATGCAGTAGTATATCCTTTTGTGAATATACTTTGTGCCCCCCAACACTCTCAATATAACTGTTAGATCATCTATATGAGACCAGTAATGCTCCCAGGGCACAGGACATAGAGGAACTTCTTCTAAAACACTGACATTCCTATCCCACATCCCTCTGAAGAAGCTAGCCCCTAATCCTTACCTAGGCAGAATTACAGACTTGGAGAAGCATGCCAAGGGTAAAAAGGTGGCCAGGAATGCATGATGGAAAACACAAGGCAAGGTTAAGTGACAGGTCCCAGTCCCTCTGGAGCCAGAACTTACACCTCCCAAGTTTGCTTTACAGTAGAGAGCATAATTTCTAGCAGGGCTAAAAACCACCAATGGCAAACAACCAAAGGGCAGGGCCAGTGTGGGTAAGCAAAAGTCAGAGATAAGCAAAAGAGGCTCCTGATTTAGTATCCAAACAATCAGGAGGAACATCTATAATGTAACTCTTTGGGTAAGATCCAGTTTGCCAACAGGAAATCTCCTATCTCCTTGGACCTCTTCATTTGTTCTCATCCTTTACGAGGAGAGATCATGTGACTGGGACCCAAGTGACACTAGCTTACTAGTTTTGGAAATACCTAAACAATCACCAGTTCATAAAGCAGAAACTTCTAATAGTGCCTCCATTTCCTCCCTCCTCCCCATAAAATCTGAGCAGTAACACTTATTATGAACAACCCATCAAAGCTGTGGTATGAGGCTGTGGGAAAACTGTTCCACCCAGCTCAACAAGCCTCAGGAAGAAAGATTCCATCAGTCCTTCACACACTCATTCAAGCACCCTTCCCGGACTCCCCAGAATGCTCCAAGCACTGGACTGTAAGGATTCCCTGTAAGATTCTTTAAAGACTCAAGTCTAATGACTGCAGACCATCCTTAAAGTTGACCCTTTGGATTCAGAACATCTAAAAGGTCATAACTGCCTTTTTATTTATGCTATCAGAATAAGCTAAATAATTTAATCTCATAAGTATAATTTCCAGTTGGAAAACTGAAGTGACTTAAGAGACTCATGACTTTCTACTCACTAAAGCAGGTCCTCCCAAGATTTCCACTAGTTAGTGAATACCCAAGTGGAGGTAACATGGGATTCCAAAACTAAACAAACATCATGACTTCAAAAAATTCTTTTATCATTTAACTAACTCAGACAAGCCTTTCCCTCACTAGTCAAAGTCAATACACTTTTACTGTATTGCTTTCAAAGACTGAAGCCAGAATTCAATAAACTACTACGCCACCACTAACTATGCCATAATCAAACTGGACACCCTTACTTCCAAAACACTTCATAGCTATTTATGGACAGGTTAGGACCCCTACCCCACACCCCCCGCCTTGAATTCAATGGAACATCCAACATTCTCTGGGTTTAGGAGAATGTCAGAGCTCAAAAGGACCAGGGAACAATGCAGTGACTATAAAGTGGTCCTCTTCTGCCCATCTCATAACTGTTCCTAACTCCAGGCTGCAGCTTTTGCATCAGTATTTCCTTCCTTAGAAAATTCACCTTTAAGAGGCAAGGGAATGTGAAAATTAGAAATGGAATTTGAAGCTGAATATCTCAATTTGAGTCCTAATTCTACATTCTAATTGAGTTTCAATGTCCATATAAAAGAAAAAGTAATAAAGAAAAGTATGCAAGATTGTGTTAGCTAAGTTACTGTATTGGTGGTACTCTGTAAATGATACAGTGATTTTTATGTGTTGTTTTGGCTGTTGTTTATTATTACTAAGAACTCCTATCTTTCCCCAAGATCTACCCTTAGATCTGATTGAGATCGCTGTCATGCACTCCTCTCCAGTGTCTCTTAAGATGTACAGCAAAGAAAGAACTAAGATACCACCATGCTTCCCCCAAGCCTGTAAGGGCACCAAATTTAGGGAGTCTCCATGCTTACCACTTCTACTTTACAAGTAACTTTCTCTCTAAATGGAGATCTGTAGCCTACAAAACATTTCTTCTCAGATATACCTTTAGACCTTCAAATTCGACTCCAGGAAACAAATTCATCTCCCACTTCTATAAGAGTGGCTCCCTTTTCTAATTACCCCCTTTCTGTCATAATGGATAGTCTTTCAATTTTATAGGACAAATACTGGCATTATTGGTGACTTACTACTCTTTGTTCTTTCTCCTCTTCCAGCCTTACAGACTATCAAACCAGCAGTTTCTTCCATGAAATGTCTTTAGATTAGCCCTTTCTCTCCCTGGTTAAAGTTATAATCCTACTGTCCACCCTAGTTGAAAACTTATTACTTCAGGCCTATACTGTCACTATAGCTTCCTAATCAGTTTCTCAAATATTATTTTCTGCTTCATTCATTTCAGACACCCACACCATAAAAACTTCCCTGATCACTACTACTTTTATTA